ACGTGTTACGGCGGGCCAGTCATTACGAGGAGTCGGGTGTTACGGCGGGCCAGTCATTACGGGGAGTCACGTGTTACGACGGGCCAGTCATTACAGGGAGTCAGGTACGTGTTACGACGGGCCAGTCATTACGAGGAGTCGGGTGTTACGGCGGGCCAGTCATTACGAGGAGTCGGGTGTTACGACGGGCCAGTCATTACGGGGAGTCACGTGTTACGACGGGCCAGTCATTACAGGGAGTCAGGTACGTGTTACGACGGGCCAGTCATTACGAGGAGTCGGGTGTTACGGCGGGCCAGTCATTACGAGGAGTCAGGTGTTACGGCGGGCCAGTCATTACAAGGGTCGGTCGTTAGGTCGGGTTCACACCACACTGCCATGCACGGGCCAGGCATATGCCAGTCCAATATTCTTCAATGCATTTGTATAAGGATATTCACACCATGGGAATGGTAGGTGTCTTGCACGGCTGGTGTGGATGCTTCAATAGAAATGCATTAAAGAATATTGGACAGGACTGCGACCGGCATATTACTGGCAAGCGACCGGCAGTGTGGTGAAAAACCGGCCTTATATCGTAGTCCAATTTATATCCGAGTCAATTGTTACGTTGGCATTTGTCACACTCACTCCGCTCGATGCAATTTAATTCCTTGCAGAAGAGTGTAATATTCTCCCAATAAAATGGTGATAAAGAGCCCATGCACTACTTGACAATAATTTAACACTAAAATTACGAGATGAGTCCAGGTGACTGTGACCTCTAATGCTAAAGCAATATCATTCTTGAGTAAGAGGATTTGAAATGGGTTAAAGGTAAACCCTTCAATATTTGTTGGGGTCCAATCTCAATACCCACCAAAACCGCGATTACCTCGTCAGCTCTGATGTCCTAGGCGCAACCAACTGATGCTCCGCAAAAGAAGAAGACTCCACTGAGACAGACGGCTATACCCGGTCTGTCCTCTTCCTAACATCTTTCAGACTCACTGTGACGAACTATCCTCAGATATTCAGATTACTATTCGCGTCACTTCTAGAGTTCAGAAGGGACCTTCTGAACTAGGACTTGACCTCGGACCTCACGTCACGTCTACCAATGACCGGAAACTAGGGCACTTCCCCATTGGTTCAGAAAGCAAGACTTGGGCTGGAAGGGATGTGAAACGCCAATGACAAGCTAAAGTTAATTTATTAGAGATAAACTGCAAATTATAAGTAACAAATCAGAACGAGTAGTCATACAAAACGGAGGCGGAATAGGAAACTAAAAAAATCAGCACATCGGATACTGTGAAACAAATGCTTGCACACCTGATGCGAGGGAGAGCTGTGACAAACCTAATGCGTAAAGAGAGCTAGAGCTAGAAGTTATGAGATAAAACGCGTGATACCTGACTTTGGAGTTAAAATCCCACAAGAGATGAACCAGTAAGCTAGCAGGGATCAGCAGCTTAACTGACGGCTACCAAAAAAGTAAGGGCCATGTAAGAGCTGGTCATGCTTGATCTTAGCGGTCTAATGGCAACTAGCATGAAATTTTCAGCCTACTATCTTACACTCACCATCCTTTCCGCCCTTTTCTACTGCTTCAGCATGGGAAAGACCAATGAGATAGGAACTACAGCCCAATTTCGGCATCTCGTAGCAAGTAGCTCCGTAGCTCTACTTATGTTGGATGGCATCAAATAGTAGTAATGCTTGCGGGTCATTACAAATATGCTACCAGGACCTACGCAGTTTCCTCACACACCGCAGAAACCATGAATGCATTAAATACAACAGGGTCCTGACTGTTCTCCCATCACTGCGATCGCTCTCCGAAGAAGCCATACCCTTCCAATAATGCCTCCAATCTATACTGTCTACCCAAAGCTGCAGCTCCCTAACATCCTGCACGTTCAGGGTGGGGCGCCATCCAAGAGTCGCCTGCTTCGAGTACGAAAATCGTCTCCAGTGCCATGAGCATCTTCGCTTCTCCCATACTTCATTCTTCACAGCCTTCCTCTTTCCATACGGTCCTTCATATCTATTATTTTTAGTGCAAGATTGTGGAAGCGGCGGCCTTTATCTCTTCCTGCCTCCTCCTCCTTCTGCCGGTCGTCTACCGTCATCCGCTGACTTTGCCACCTTCCTCAACTCCATGTGAGCGAAATTCGGCGCAAAAAACATCAACAACGACGAGATCAGTCGTTACGAGGGCCGTGGTCACGGCCGTTACATCAGTTATTCAAGGGAGGTAAGACAAGGTTACTTACTGAGGGCTGTGGTTATACAGCAACACCTTGACGGATTTTGGTCCATTGCCGACCCCAGATCTTTCATTTACTCATTTCGTTCCAGCAAGTCGTGATAAAGGAAACGGATATTAAACGCGACAACAGCGGATATTTCCAGGACTATTCGTTCCAATCCACTGGTCAGAACAAGAACACAAGGAAGATGTCACCCCACCACCTAGTGCACCAATCACCACCTAGGATACCAACCCGCCGCCAAGAACACTATAAACCACCACCCAGGCCAACAGCCCATGCCACTCAGACAACCAGCCACTCAGGCTAAAAATCTGCCACTCATGAAAACCCACCGTCAAGAACAACCCACCGCCACCCAGGATAAAAACCCGCCACTCATCAAAACAACCCTCAAACCAAGAAGCACAACCCACCACCCAGAAAGACAACCCATCGACTAGGAGAACAGCCAACCACTCAAGACCACCGCCCAGGAAGACAACCCACCATGTTTTTGAGCTGCTCCTCATCCCGGATTTTCTCCAGGGCTTCGTCAGTCCAGCCATCGACGGCGCCCTCCGCCGCCTCCGCGCAGCTGCTCATCGTGGCGACCACCGCCCACGCGTCCCTATAACAAACAGTAACAAAAACAGCATTAATTTTCATATCCTAGAAACATTCACATCATATATGAAAAATTATCGGGCATCGTTAATCCGAAAATCCGAAAAATAATCCTCCATCGTTAAATAATCCAAATAATCCGAATAGAATTCGGCATCACTCGTAACCCAACATCGTGAGTGACGTTGTCCGCACTAACGTCGCTAGTTACGTCATCCGTAATCGGTACGTCACGCACTTTAGTTCAGACATCAATTCACTTCAGTGAACCAGTACGCGACGAACCAGTACGAATATGGAGCCACGACTCCTTCACCGCGTTGCATTAAGGCTCGCATAGTTTCATCACAGTCAGCATAGGCTCATCACAACCAACATAAACACCACACACAGCACGCTAGTTACAGTAAATACAACTCCACAGGGGCCGAATGCGACAAACATGCGGTGCCTGTATGACTTCATGCAACGGCGGCAGCATCAATGAGTTAAATGAGGCAATATAAACGAGCATTATATTGACATGGCAGTTAATGGCGCATGTGCTCCATGAGAGGGCACGGCGCACATTGCGTGACACGTGGCACATGGCGCACGTGGCACATGGTGCACCTGGCACAAGGGGCACGTGGCACATGGTGCACGTGGCACATGGCGCACGTGGCACATGGCGCACGTGGCACAAGGTGCACGTGGCACATGGTGCACGTAGCACAAGGTGCACGTGGCACATGGCGCACGTGGCACATGGTGCACGTGGCACGTGGCGACGTGGCACATGGCGCAGTTGGTTGCAGGTCTCCGCAATTGGCAGAAGCAGCGAGTAACTCAGACGCGCACGCAAGCAACGAAGACTTCAATTGTGCCTGAATACCGCCTGGTAACTGCACGGTACAGTCGTCTACCCACGGTACAGTCAGGGTACAGTCACGGTACAGTCATCAACCCACGGTACAGTCATCACGGTGTACGGCAGCAATGATACAGGCGATGATGCTCAGCAGAGATGCAGTAAGGGACGCTGACTCAGCGAAACGTTCACAGGCCATCGTCGCCAACTGAGCGACTCGTATGTTGGCAACACTTGATTGTTGACATGTTGACATGCCAAGTGTTGACATGTTGAGTCGACAGTTTATTGGGAACATGGCAGTTTATGGCAACATTTGAATTCCTTGAATTCCAGCAGCAGAGCGGCCATGACACATTACAATGTCTTTGCCGTATGATGGGTGAGAGGGATCAGAGTGGTGAGTGTGGCACTGAGAGGGATCAGAGTGTGGCACTGAGAGGGATCAGAGTGTGGCACTGAGAGGGATCAGAGTGTGGCACTGAGAGGAATCAGAGTGTGGCACTGAGAGGGATCAGAGTGTGGCACTGAGAGGGATCAGAGTGTGGCACTGA